ACCCCCTTCATAACAAAGCTACCTTGTAGTGCACGTAGTGGAAAAGACAGCTGGTCAGTTCCTAGTAATGTTAATAACAATGACGATGCGCAGTTAAGTTCTGCTCCCCATGAAACGCAGACACCAGTGAAGAGAGTTGAGCATGGGGAAGGGAAGTGAGAACACGTGAGGGCATCTGCATGAGTGGAAACCAGCAACCACCGGCATAAGAAAGAGAACTGTACTGAACACCTTCGAGACGGAGAGCTAATGATCAGATTTTGCAAAGGGATGCTGCAGACTCAAGCCAGGGAAGGAAACGTGGCATTCCTAAATTGAAGGGCTTGGTAATCTTTGCACTGAAATCGGGTCCTTGCTTGAGGCATCCCCTTGTGTTTAAGAAGTCAGAGGTGATGATTCACTACAGTTCGTGCTTTCCTTTTGAAGGTCAAAACCAGTCTTTCCATTGAGGCATCATTCCAGAGGAGCCTCTGGGCCTGTAACTTGTGAGGTTAGTTATCCTGGGGAGTGACAACGGTTGCTTGGTCCAAAGCACCTAATACTTTGGTCTTTCACACTGAGCTCCGACTCATAGCACCCTACTCTTCCTGCCTCAGATCTCTCTGCCTCTTCTACCCCAGAACCTCCTAACTCCACCTATGCCCAGACTGTCCCCATGCCCATCACACTCACTCCGTCCAACTCGTGCTCCCATCCCTCTGCTGCTCAGTAAAACAGCATTGGTGCCACAGACTTAACTTCACGCTGCCATCCTGATGTGTCCGCTGGCACTGCGCACCGATCTGTCATCAACCAGCACCACCTCCTGTGCTAATCCTCTCCAGAATTTCCCAAGATGGGAGAGACCTCAAAAATCCAGGCAGCTTACACCTTGAGGACACAAGGGCACATAAGGGACAAAGACTGTGCTAGTGCCAAGAAGAGCAGGAGACAGAGGCAAGATGCTCCTATGAGAAAAGCTATGATGTGAGCAGTTCTTACAGTGGATGGAGTATCAGCTGAAAAACCAATGGAAAGAGAAGAGAGATCAAAACTTTCAGGAAAGTCACTGAGGAGACAGTAAGGAGAGGAGGAAAATCATAAGCAAAAGAGCTTTAGCCTACAAGGGAATATCTATAATAGCTAGCTATTTAATCTCCTAAACAGATGTGGCTTTGGTAGTTGCAGGGTTTTTTATTATTATTATTATTACAAATAAAGATTTTTAAGCTGCAACTTTGGCAGGGGCTGAACATGAGCACTAGAGAATGATACGCACAGTCACTTGGCCGTAACAGGTCCTGAAGTTTACCACAGGTCTACCATTTCATGGCGAGCAATGTTTGAAATACAACATCCTAATTATAAAATACCATAGTGAGGATATTTTTTAAAATAAATTCACTTAATAAACACTTAGCGATACATTTCCAATATGTTCTAATCTTGATTCATTATTAGTTGAGATCTTTTAAATAAATGCCAAACCACAGTGTTTTCAATTAGTACTTTACAAATATACAATTGCCCTATTAAATCTAAATTGACTATAGATTTAATAAACCTTAATTCAAAGTACTAAGATGATTTTTGTTGCCAGACAGATGGAACAAAACTCTTCCGTCAAAATACAAAGGCCAAAAATAAAAAAATTCCAAATTAAAAAAAAAAATCCATTTGAAGGAGGAAAAGAGAGTGGAAGAGATAAGGAAAAAAAATAAATGCGTATAAAATAATGATAGGCAGATCTCAATTTCTGGCCATCCAACTTCATTTTCAAAATCCCGAATGCAATATTAAGCTTGTTTTTAAAAGATAAAGCCATATTTGAAGGAAAAAAACACAGATGTAATGAAAACTATTTCTAAAAAGTCAGAAAAATTATTTTATTTAAAGCAAATAGCGCTGTCCCTGTGGTAAATGAACCCCCTGACAGACTGTTACAATCGTACTGACTACAACAGTTTCAGAAGGTCATATGCTCTGCTATACTACGTAAGAAAGAGTCAAGCCATGATATATTAATGATGTATTGCTATTTTGAAAAAAATTTTGAAAAAAATTACCTTTCTTAATACACTGAATTAACTACATGTGTTTAATAAATGCTCAATTTGTTTAAAAGATTCTCTTTATCTTGTCTTTACTGAAGGTGCATGGAAGGGGAAATTACAATTTTAGCAATGTCAGGCCCTCCTGTCAGAAAGAAGGTGAACCTAAACAACTGGAGTAGCCAATCAAAGCTGAAGGGAGCTGTAATTTCTAAACTCTGAGTGCTTCCTCCCCCTAATATTGTAGAGGTTACTATGGATACAGACTAAGTTGAAAGGTTCAAGATAGGCTTGATCCATTAATCAGAACAATGTTAAACCAACCACCCAGGTGACAGGTTACCTCTTATTCTTTAATTCAGTTTTGGGTTTTTTTTCTCATGAGATTATTTCTTGTTGGAGCTGTTCAGTTCAAACTCATTATTAAAATTTCTTGGAAAATTAACAAAGTGTAACTCTTGAGCATTCTTCTACAGAAGAGACTCAGCACTTTCCAATTTCATGTCCAAATGTACTGCACTCTCATACTGCAGTGTTCAAGATGAAAATCATCTCCAGCAGGAAACTCTACATCGATTTCTAGAGACAAGCAGTCTCAAAATTACATTATTCACTGTTACTAGAAAAACAGCCTAGAACCACTTAGCAAATTCAAGACACACATACTGCTTACATGTAGAAAAGAAAATTAGTCTTGAAATTCAAAATTTCCATCATTTTAGAGCTGCTGCACTTGGCTGTGGTATTTATTGTGTTACATTTGGCACTAACTATGTTTGGCTTTTAAAATCATGTCAACATTTTCCATAAAAATATGTTCTATAGCTTCTCTAACAAAAATGGGCAAGTGTTCCAGTAATAAAATGTTAAACAGCTTTTGTGCCTATAAAGACATTAATAGGGCAGAAATCATTTCAACTTATGTAATTCAAGCACTGTAACTCCCAGAAGGATTTTAACACAGCCAGAATTTTTATTATTTTTAGCTGAGATAATACTATCTGAGCAATGGAGTCTGTCACTAAGCATACTTAAAAGTATCTAATATCAAGTAGGAAGAAACCTATTCTATTTTTTAAGAATATTTATTTTAACTCAACTTCAATCCACAAAATGTCTGTGTGTCCACAATGCAACGTACATGCCATGCAAGACCACCAAACCAAGCAAAAAAAAATGAAGATGTGATTTATAAATACACGAGTTGGCAGTTACACTAAAATAAAAATATACAATACAAAAATCATTAGAGGAGAACCAGGACTGGTCGGTAAATGCAACTGCATCATTATTCTCACAGGGGGAGACTGTCAAATGCATGAGGGTGAGTTAAATATCCAGCTCTCAACACGTGCCAATACAGGTTGGACACAACTCGGATTTATGCTTTTCAAAACCAATCCTGTAATTCAGGGAAAAAGGCCACTTTCTGTAAGTGGTAAAAATGAAAAAAAGTCATACTGAATTCACCATCCACCTTCTGCAAATAGTTTTTTTTTCTTTTTAAGAAAGTAAACAAAGACTGCCAGTACGGACTACTTTTCCTATCTCACAAGCACAGTACAGGCTAATATAGATAGATTCATCTATTTCCCAAAGCTGTAACTATACTAAAAAACATTTTTACGTGGGCAAGTTTTTACAGCCCAGTTCTGAAAGGTTTAAAGTGGAGAAGTTGCTGAATTCACAAACACGTTACAAAAATTAAGGCCAAAATCCTAAATTACTTTACAAAAGGGATGCATAAACCATATACTGGTCTTGTTTAATTTTTCATCAAAACCTAGCCACCTGGTATAGATTAGGCAGCACTCAGCAATATTACACAGCAGTTGGAAACACAACGTGAAGAACACCATATCCACAGAGCCCGCGCAGGGAACGGGGGGAAGAGGTGGGACGTCACTGCGTGGGCTGGGACGGGTCCAAGCAGAGCCGTGAGCGCTCCTGCTCCAGCCCGGACTGCCACAGAGCGACCTCACGTGGGTCTCAAGATTAAGGTGATGTGGAAGCCAGCACCTGCTTTCTCACAACGCGCTGCGTCCCAGTGACATGCCACAGTACTGCGGGGAGAGTGCTGTACATTTAACAGACACCTGATTATGCCAGGAAGCAAAGAAAAGCTATTTCTCACTTCAGGTTCTTAGGTTCAGTGACCTAATTCTGGTTAGACTATGACACACACACAACCCCCCACATAAATATGAATTAGAGGTAATAGCAATGATTAATAATCCGTATGGGCAATACTCCACATATGAGCTTATGGAAAAATCAATACTAAGCGACACAACTGCCAGACAGTGGTGAAATAATGTGTAGAGATACCAGAGCACTCGTTGATTTTAACAGTTGTGCTTCTAGGCACAAACATGCAAACAGGGAATCTTGTTGAACATTAGCAGGTTGTAAATTTCCAAATAAAATGCAGTACTAAAAGTGAAAGGTTGTTTGTTTGTTTTTAATAGTACATCTGTTTTATTAAAATAGCAACACTGACATATTAAAGCATGTCTGGTGTGAGGTGTCTGGTCAGCTGAAATTTGTGTGGGAACAAAAAGCATGACAAGAAGCCCACCCATACATTAGTGCATATACTGACTAGTACCTACATGAGGCACCGTTAAATTAATACTTAATCCTTTTTGTTTTCATATACTGGGAATTTGTTTGTTAAAACTATGAATATCTGCTTAAAGCATCATTCTTTCCTACGTTTCCCTTCTAACTAAAGCAATAATAACAATAAAAATTACAACAACAAAAACTAGGTTAATGCATCAACTATTTAATCTGCTGAATGTTACATATCTTGGAATGAGTTAGGATGTTCTTTAGCAAAGAAGTTTTATGATGATCTTAAGACATCTGTGAAAGTATCACCATGTTCCACAACATATCATCTTAAGAACTGAGCATGAATTATGGCCTTCCTACAAAACTGAATGTAAGGGTTCAAAAAAAACTCACTTGAACATCTGTTCATATCTGGCGTTCGGAGTCCATAGTACCCCGATGGGCAGGAATGCAAGCATTCACCATATTGTCTCATTCCTTCTCTTCGTAGGAAGAAGAATAACTTGTGTTGGCATCTGATGCACCCATTATCCTTTGAACAAGATAAACAGCCTTTGCAAATTGGATTTGGTCCATAGCTAGCTGCAAAATAAGAAGATAAATTACACTTTAAGATCATTTGGAAATTATTTAGGCTGGAGGTCCTCTTCCCTCTAAAGTGTTACTTATCTACTGCATTATTACAAGTAATTTTGAAAGGAAGGTTCTGAAAGTACACTCGCTCTCATACATCTGCAGCGGCAAGTGAAAGAAATGCAATCTCTATATTTATAACTGTATGTAGGGCAATTTAATGAATTTACACACATTTAAAATAAAGGTAGAGGCAAGCAGAGACCAAGCTATATAAAGTTTACCAGTACAACATAAGTAAAACCCAGGTGCTGAATTCTAGTTTGAAGCTGGGAACATAACCACACAACAGCAACAAAATATAAGAACATCAGCAGCCTGATATATACAGCTGGAATATGTCCATGGAACTCCAGCAACCACACTAATGCAATTTCTGACTTCTGAAGAGAGCAATATTAAGAGTAAAGAACTCTCTGCAGAACAGGTACAGCACTAGCAACCCATAGCTCTCAGGGTTCTAGAACAGCTGTCGTCTTGCAGTCTTTTCTTGGTCTTTCTAATGAGAATGTCAAGACAACTATTTGGAAAAGAAGAGTAGCAGTTCTTATAAGAGCCTTTCTCTGCAAGTTTCTACCCAAAATAGGCTGAAAAATCATATGCACAGACATTACAAAAGGAGGGCATTTAGTGCAGATTACCATTTTAGGCTACCAGCTGCTGTACCTTCAATTCTGTTCTCTGGTTTTGGTTTGTGTTTTCTTTTTTTCTTTTAAATTACTTGACTGATAACTGCAACAAACTTTAGCGGCATCACTTTTTGCCCCTATGAGTTTTTAGTATCCTGCATTTCTGCAGAGTTGCAGAACACTCCCTTGTCCCCATGGGCTGTCAACTTCTCAGGTGCTGAGTCAGCACAGCAGGTTAGCAGAGGGAGGATGTCTCAAGACATTCCTGAAACCAGCATAACTTAACAGGTCTGCTTTAAATATTAACTTGGCTGCAGGACTTCACAGAAATTTGCCAGTTCAAACCTGGTTTACTGGAAACAAAAGAAAAATATGCAATAGAAGGAAAGTGTCTTTGGGGTCTCAAGCTTTTAGTAGAGGCCACCCTGTGAGCAGCTGGCCAAAAGGACAAGGACTATGTTTAATTGTTCTATTTTAAAGCATTTAAAAGTATTCGCACCCTAACATAGTACTCTGGTACTTTTATCTTGTATGAATGGATAATTGAGGTTGTTCAATGAATGACTTCACCAGCGGAGCCAGGAAAAGAAAAAAGGAAAAGCCCACCACCCGCCGGAACCAGTAGCTGATAAGCTTTACTCTCACCTTCACACATCTGCACACCACATTCCCACTCCCTCTCTGCTCCCGTTCCCCACACATGCCTCATCAAGTTCAGCACGACAGCATTCAACTCCGATCTTGTACAAAATAATCCTAGTGGGTGGCAGGCAGGATGAGAAGCCAAGTGATCCAGTGTGAAACAGCTCAGCCAGTGGGAGACTTTCTGAGCGCTGGAGTCCTCTGGCACCAGGCTCACCTGGTGAGACCCTCTTAATGGGAATAGCATCCTTACCCTCTACAGTATATGTACGATTCTTTGGCTCTCTGTTAACCCTTTTGTAATGACACACCCTACCAGACCAACTGCCTTATACTCCTACACAAGTTCCCATCTCCTGTTGCCCACAAGAACTCAGATATAACTTTTCCTACGGTTCATCTTGCAACTATTCTCATTCACAATCCACATCTTCAAAGACATACAAGAAAAGAAACAAACAGATGATGAGCTAGGCTTGGATGCATCCCTCATCTCACTGTCGGCAGGGATTGCCTATCTGTAACCACATCAAATAATACGTGACCATGTACTCCAAAACAATTGTTGCTTAACACATGGTGGGCAATCCTGTAGACTTCTGAATCCCCTTTTAGTCTCCTTGCATCTCACTCTCAGTAAATCTGTACCTCCAGCTTATTCAAGGTTCCTCATAGAAGCCTGTACTATAAGAAGAGAATTAAAAGGAGCAAAGCAAAAGTAAAGATGCGAGATGCCTGTATTTATTCACCACTCAAAATGTTTTTTGGAGTTTGAATCAGCTAAAGTCAGGGTCTCATAGGCAGTATGTTTAGGATTGTTACATAGGGCCTGCCCATTGCTGAACAGCATGGATATAGCTAAAGGCAACTATTCTCAATAGTGTGGCTTGGGGAGGAGGGATTAGGCTCTGGAGCAGATACATTTGTAGTATCCAGGTAAGTCTCATGTCCACCTTCCCTCACTGACCTCCATTAAAATTCAAGACTTCTTGGCTGCAAAATGTGTCTCAGTTTGACTCTACTGTCCAACTTTCCTTTATCTATGACTGCCCACATGTCACTCTCCTCAGGTACCTCTTTTTTCTATTTCTGGCAAGATATCTTTGTTGATAATCCTTTGTTCTGCAGGCAAATTTAATTATGCTGACCATAGCTCTGTCCCAACATACTCTCACATGAAAAGGAGCTAACAGCATAAAATGATCCTCCATTATCCTGTCTATCCTTTGTTTAGGAGGTGGACGGCACATCTTTCACAGCTTAAGGTCAACACAAGATATATGAAAGAGTTCAATAATATAGTAATTTTGTAAGTTGTGTATATTTATCCCAAAATTTTAACTTGTGTGTAGGTTCCCCAAACCATGACACCTAGACTCTCCTTCTTTATCTCCTGAGCAGCCTTAACAAATTATTCATAATTTCTGTGACCGTATTTTTTCCCCTCCTATAAGAATGCTGAGATTCAGTTCATGGGAACTTGTAAACTGCTCTGAAATCCTCAGCTATGAGCTATTATAGATGTGACACATGTATTGTTACTTAAATGAATTATTAAATTCACACATTGAATTTGGATAACAGAGTTCAAGTTGGTCACATAGTGATGACTTTCCCTGTTACCCTCCTAGTTAGTAAGTTATAACAAAAACCTAAAAATGTATCAGATATTTTTCTTTTCTTTCTTTACCACACTAAGCAAAAAAAATAAAAGAAAAATCACTGAAGAATTATACAATGGTAAGGCGAGGTAATATGATTTGTATGCTGTAACACAGAGAGTAAACTTTATTAAAGAATCTGAAAACTTCCCATTGTGCTGCTTAGTCACCAAACTGAATAATTTCCAGGTATTTTGCATATGGTAAGTTATTCTGAAGTGTGTTTCACAGAATTGGTGTTCTTCCACATTGTTGTTGCTTATATTCTTTTCAGAGCTTCATGGGAAGCATACTGACTTCTGTGACCTTTCTGTCAGTTCAACCTGTCCCAAAGCAGAGAAAATTGTGATATGCTCTACTATTAAATTACTTGGACACTGAACATATACTTTCACAAATCAAATACTGTAGCACTGGTTTTGGTGTCACACAGGCATGTTATCTTGAAGATACCAACTTAACTTTCTCTTTTTGCCCCTACGTCCACAGGCTATAATTAAATTCTACAAAATCCTCCCTGCCCCAAAGTCTTCCCTTTCCATCTCGGTTTCTTGACATAGAAAATACAATGTATTCTTATCACATACAGCTTTTTCAATTCTCATATAATTGCTCTTTGAAGGAGGAAGTGAACGCCTCTGCATTCAGCAGAAATATCTATACAATTCCTTTTGAATTTCTTCACAACCTCTTCTTTTTCCTTCTGTATTAGACTGCAAGAAAAAATAACAGGCTTACAAAACACGGTCATTCACATTCCAAGTTACCAGTTGCATCATGCGCAATGTAAAACATCACGCTACTCATCTCTATTTCGACCCTGCCTGGAACACCCTCCTCAACTCTGTGTGCCAGGCAAGGCAGGTTTCCTCCAGCCAAATCCCTCATGGAAACTCGCTCCTTCCACAAGGCCCACAAATGTTAACCAGTGTCAGAGCGCTGCTGTCGTCACATCATAAAACCGAAAATGCACACATGCTGTAAGTTAGCACCATCCTCTGGGTCTCAAAGCGCATGACTGCGCTGGCTGTCTGTGAAGCTTGTAAGGTCCTTGCAGCACAAGTAATGTTTTGTACAGCCACATAAGCATGTACGCAGGTGTGAACACCGCACATAAACACAAACGCACACCTTTATACAGATAATGTATTTTTTATTCCTTCTGGTTGCTGCTTCTACAGCTATATTCTAGGGCATCTCTATATTTAAAGAAAAAGCTTTTACAGACTTGATTCCCTACGTTGAGCTTTTATTTTAAATCTGGGATTAAATTTGCCAAGTTTGCAAATGTTACTTGAGAACACAGACTAGTACCCAAACACTGAACGAAACATGGCTGAACTCTAAGGGTGTTCAAAGTTTCATGGTTTGGGTTCATATCAAGTAAAATCAAATGTCAGCTAATTACTTTAACTCTTGTCTGGATCAAATGTATTTAAGCCATATTGCTGAAGCGGTTTTAAGTGAATTGTTATGACTATTTGAAATCACAAGAGAATCAACAGTACAAAATGAGTCCAGCCTGTTCCCCACAAGAATACAAGTTGTTCTGTAAGCAACAGAACTAAGAGCGCTTGATTTTCAGTGATCTTACTGTTTTGCAGCCCATACCACAACAACTACTACTAATTTGTGTCTTTCTTGGTATACCCACTTGTTAGGTGTCACAAACCTCTTTTGAACCTGGTGCTTCAGCTCACCACAAGAACCTGGAATTTTTACACTTCTGTAAAAACCAGGCTGAAATGGACAAATTAATCCAAAACCAATTGGAGGAAGAGGAGGGCCTGGCAGAGAAACAAGCAGTAGAAAAAGTCATTCCCTAAATATAATTTCTTTAGAGGGCCAGGCTAACATGCTCATTATATTCTTAGTATCACTTGTTGCCTGGTCATTGTGTCTCTATTTGGCAGTCTTCGGTCTTTTGAACTCTCTGAAGTCAGAAACCAGGCTTAATGGTACAATGGCCACCTTAATGGCACTCTTGTCCTAACTAGGATTGTGGCCACATAA